AATCTATGTTTGGGGAAATTTCCCCGAACATAGATTAGAGGGATTCCCTGCTCTGTTGCATTTGTCTATGTTCAGGGACATTTCCCTGAACATGGAAGAATGCAGAAGAGCAGGGAATCCCTTAACTCCTCACTTACCGACTAATTCGTTCTACAACCGCATCATAGGAACTGAACCCGGTCGGTAAGTGAGGAGTGTCTGTCCTGTTATTATCTATAATGAAACTCTTGTGGAATATAACATGTTGGGTCCAACAGAAGACCGTGATTAATGAAAGTGTAAAACCTAAAAAAAAATTAAATGGATTAAACATAGGCCCCACTCCAGTATACTCAAACCCAAAATAAGCAAACGGGTAACAGAGGTCATGGCGACTACTACTGGGCCGCCCTATGACCTTTATTTTGCAATATTATAATAGCAATAATAGACAGCTGTTGACTGTACACTTGCGTCTCCCTATGCCTTCCCTTTGCGTTTATTAAGATATTTTTATCATTGATATTTTTTTCCCCCAAACATTCTTTAATAGTATAGTGAAATACAGGATTGTCAAATCTGTAGGTCTCCCTTCACAGATACTATATATTAAAGCAGCCAATAATGAACTTACATAGTTACCCATAATGTTTCTTTTTTATAAATAGCAATAGTATATAACGTCCAAAACCCTCATTTAGAAAACATCTATGTTTAGCAATACACGTAATAAAAACATAAATCTGCAAATTCATCCTGCTCATAAACATTAATATGGATTTAGTGATATTTATTAAATGTTATTAAACGATATTAAATGTTTCCGACACATTACATTCCAGTCGAAAACGTTTATCAGAAGTTTATTGGCTCGTGATAACCCTCAATTCAGAGAGATTTAAATCCCACCATTAAACACTTATTAGAATCTGTTAAATATTGTTTTAAATAACAAATCTGAAACAAATATTTTACATTTAAAATATAGGCTTCAGCAATTCAATTCCTTTAACAATCACATAGCGATAGTCAGGACATAGTGTCCCACCAGTGGTTAGATGGTAGGTGCTCTACTTATAATAACCTGGGATGAGGGCTATTGTCTCCTCCACCCCCCACCCATGAGCAGTATGTGCGTCTCTAATTTTAAAAACTTGGCCTCCTACCCCACACATAGGCAGTGGATGGCAGCTATTAAGTTAGTAATAAATGGAGGTACTTAATGTCCAACACCAGCCCACACCAATGGGCAGTGTGTGAGAACTATAATTAACAAGGGAAAATGATCCACTCCAACAAAATTGTCACCAATGCCTCCATCCAAGTTGGTTAGAGGTCTGCAAACCCCATGCCATCTTCTCAATAAAAATATCTAACTACTCCTTTACCCTAATAATAGTGAGTGGAGGCCTAATTAATCTAATCTTTTCGAGTGGGTTTTGCCAATATAATGCAGTCAAGGCCAGAATTAGATAGTCTCTTAGAAGCCATAGGACCTTAAAATTCCAAAAGGGCTAATAATGTTATATTCCTCTATTACTTATATGAATTTGAGCTCAACTTACTGCTTTCAAAGATTTAGTAAGACTCGATGCAAACCAAATTGACTAAGCTGTAATTATCTATTGCCAGTCTCAATACATTGGTCAACTGTGCAATGTGGTGTCAGTGACTTCATGATAATTCAAAGTACTTTCCACTTAGTAAAATGTTTTTTATTTTCTTGCAGAAACGCAGTGGAACCGGCAAGACTGTCTTTGAATACAGGACACAGAAAGTAGCACGCTTACCCATTATCGATATTGCCCCTGTGGACGTTGGCAGTGCAGAGCAAGAGTTTGGAGTTGACATTGGGCCAGTTTGCTTTTTGTAATCCATCATTGAGATGACTTAAGAACTTAAACTGACTGAAGTTAATCCTGAGACTCTTGAAAACTTATAGCTGGCAATGCACCAGCACTGTACATACAGTTTTCCAATATTTTCCATTTTTGTTCAAATTTTTTTCATTGCCTGGCCTTTTCCAAAGTATTTATTTACATTGAGTTTTATTTTTTTTTAAGCAATGTTAAGACAAGCAGTGATACCCTTAAATGGACCAACAATGTAATTTTAACCTTCTTCTATATCTGCACAGTTTTGCCCTTTGTATCAGTGTAGATCAGTTTCTCATCTGGATTGTATAGTGAAATGATTCTATACACCTTTGTGCATCCATATTTTTTTAGATGTGCTCAAGTAAAAGCACATTGGTTATTACATTTGTATTACTTGTATATTCGAAAATGTCAGCTACAAGCAATTGGTAAAACTTTACTTTGCAACATTTATGGGTAATTCGTCAAGCCTTACAGTTTACCAAAGTTTATACTGATTTAACTTTGTAATATATTCTAAAAAATACTAAGCTTTTAAAAAAAATTCTTTAAATCCTGGTGAAATTTTAAGAACAGTGTTGACCTTTTGATTATTATAGAATACTGAACATTTCTATTAATCACGTATTAGATTTTAAAGCTTACAGCCTAAACCCAAAGACAGACTTACAGTGTAAGCCGTAGTTTGGTATATCCATAGTAGTGTGTTAGAAATATAGTTTAAGAAGCCTATGGAAAAATGAATTTGTACACCTTGTAGAAAAAAAAACCATAGTCAAGTCCTTAGTCCTAGACGAACTACTTTTGAATCAACTGAATAATTAGAAAACCTATATCTAAATAAGTTTGGAATGTTTTCATCCCACTTAGTATTTATGAAACTTGATGAATTTCTTATCCAGTTCATTAATTGCTAAATGAAATACTATCTACATTGGGGTTCATTCATCTTGAAATGGCATTGGTACGACATCTTGAGCGTAAAACAGAAGCAAATTTACAAAAATATTTATTTTCATTCTTCTTATATGATTTATCTCCATTGTTTTACATGTCTCATAAAGTATATATACCTGTCCGCATTGCTCTTCAAAGTAACGTTAATGTCAGTGTTGAAAGGATACATTTTTAGTTAAAAAACAAAACCCTTTTATGTACAGTATACGAACACAGTATGTTTTAATCACACGATATCAGTTGCAAAAGGACCCAACTTTTCTTAGCATATAAGCTACCTCATCTCTTGCTGGGATGCATATAAATATATAGTTTTATTTCCTGTTAGATATGAAAAGGTGCTATGCTTTTGTTGTTATTTAGAGAATAGGGTGAGGCAGTGTACATGTTTGATGGTGCTAAAAATTCCTTTTGTGAAATCCTGAATAAATAAAAATTTACAGATGCCCCTAAATTATATGATTTTTAAGAGTTTAGCACAATTGTGCTTCAACATCTGAAAAACAAAATATACATTGCATTTTTCCAATTGGTCATAAAAATGTGTCTTTTTTTTTAAATGGGTGTAATATATATATGTAGAATTTGCTGTCATGCGTCTGCTTTTTTTTTCTGCTTCTTTTAATTCACTTGATCTAAGCTAATTTCTCACAATCGTCTCTAGAAACTGCACATTCTTGATAATCTATAATAATGGCTCTCTTCCGTCTTCAGGCCAAATAGGTAAAATATAATTTTTAAGTAAACTTTAATACACATAGCATTTATCATGTAACTTTGCAAAACATTTAATTAAATACATGCTTCTTGTGTGTCAATGACTGCAGAATTCCTTAAGCTCTAAATTCAAGATCTTGGTCAATTGCACAAGTTAAAGACACTAGACTTGGTTACACATGGTATGAATGATTAGTCTTTATATGGTTTGGTGAAGACAGAGGCATACAAAATGTATTAACATTAATAGTATTGTTTTGAAACTAGTAAATGTAACGTTGCACCAAACATTTATTATATATGACATCTTAAACGTTTTTAGATTTTCCCAGAACCTCTTTAAAGAAAATCAAAAGCAATCTCTAGACTCACTAACAGGGTTATTCACTGAAGTGAGAATGGGTACATTCATGGGGACATTAAAAAGCTCTTGTTCATTCCCTTTTGTGAATTTTATTGTTGAATTAAATTAATAAAAGGAATGGAACATTTTAGTTACAAAGAAAGGAAAACACATTTAAATCTCTTTAGTTTAGAAAAACGGTGCCTCAGAGGTGATTTGATTATCATTGTACAAGTATATTTGGGGCAAATACAAACCATTGTCTGAAGTACCATTAAATTTGGGTAATAGTAACATCCCCTGGATGTTGGGCTAAAGTAACATCCACAGGAGTTACTTGAAACCAGAGTAATCTGAATGTACCTTTCCTGGTTAAATACTTTGTTGTTATTATTAAATCTATTCATAAACAGAGTATAAAACAGATCAAATTTGTATCTTGTACTACTTTTTTTTTTAAAGGACTAACAGAATTTTGTAATGACAACCTTTAGGGAGAACCTCTCTTTCTCAAGGTGACACATAGAAAGAGACATGAGTGTAGATAAGACATAGGTTTTATCGAAAATAAAAAAATATTTTCTATCAAACCTGTGTCTTATCTGCTCTCATGTCGCTTTCTATGTATCATCTTTGGTCAGAAATGCTTTAGACTTGAGAAAAGGAGGTTCTCCCGAAAGCTTGTCATTACAAACTTCTGTTAGTTCAATAAAAAAGGTATTACAAGATATTAATTTTATCTGTTTTTTTACATCTGCATCACAGGACTAATACGACTACAATCTCTACAGGAATATATATAGGACAGGAGGTCATGCATTTAGACTGGAAGAAAGGAGATTTGGTCTAAGGCAAATTAAAGGTTTTTTTTTGTTTTTGTTTTTTAAGTAAGAACAATAAGGATGTGGAATTCTCTTCCTGAATAGGTGGTTTTATCAGAGTCAGTACAGATACTTAAACAGCAACTGGATGACTAAGTGCAAAAACAACATATTCAGGGATATCATTTTTAACTTGTGGGGTAATAGCATCTTGATACAAGGAGATATCTGGCTGCCATTCTGGGGTTAAAAATTATTTTTTTTCTAGTTTGTTGCAACATTGGAAGCGCTTCAGACTGTGTGTTTTGCCTTATTTTGGATCAACATATCAACAATGTAAATTATATACTCATCAGGGGCTTTCTGTTTAAAAATCTAATTCTAAGTCTCACATCGCTTCCAGATAAAATATCCTTGAAGGCCAAACAGGTACAGTGAGGGTGTGGCAGGAGATATCTGGACTTCATATAATTTATTCCAATTGTGCTGTCTGTCTAGTATAATGGGCAATGTATATTGCTTGTTTACATTACTTACCCTGGCTTTATCTGGACTCTGGTCACTGTTTGGCTGTGTCAATTGCATCATACTTTTAAACTAATCCTCTATGCATTTAGTCAAGAATTCAAAGTTGTTTACATATGTTTACTTCTTATTATACAATGCATGTCTACCCCTGTGAGCCAAGGAGGTTTGTGTGTGGTTGTTTAAATGTTGGACACCTGTTAGAATTTTACAATAACATGCATTTTTAATAATTAAGTAGACAATAACAAAATAATATTGAGAAATTGTAAGTGGAGTGGGCATTACAGATAGAGAATTAAAAAATAATCCTGTTTTTTCTATTTTAGGTTTTAATTAAGAGGTGTCAAAAGTTTAGTAATTTCTATACCAACAAAACTCAAAAAGTCAAAATCATTTAACATGTACTTCCCATAATACTTGGCAGTCAGACACAATTGTTTTACCTCAGTATTTCAAATACCTCAATTTCACTTAGTTTGTGTAAACTGAAAATATCATTACATATAGCAAAATTATGACTTTAATATCTAAATTTGCAACCTTTGGTTACAGACAGATTCTGTCTATAATTCTTTAGATTCTATAACCAGCGTGCAACAGTCTCATGCCGGTCAGTAATATGCCAATAAAAATATTTTAGATGAAATGTTTGCAAATGTTCACAGAAATTTTTATATCTACATATTTATAAATCAACCACAAACTATGTATTTATGATAATTGTATTGGTGATTTATTCAGTATTTGATTTAGCTTATTATTCCAATAGTGAATGCCAATTGTTTTTTATCTAGAAATCGAACATACAATGCCCTTCAGCATACATGGGCCACAACGTCAAAACAAATTTACATGAAACTCAGCCCAAACAATTGTACATTGTTTTTTTATTTTAGTGCAGCACCCTCAAATCTCAAATACTAAGGTGGCCTGTGCCATTTTCAGATTTCAGCTCCTCAGAAAATTCAATAGCAGCAGATCTGGAGAATACAGGCTTGGATACTATAACTAACTGTACAACCCATTATAATGATGACAGTATCACCACTGCTAATGTTAACATAATAGCCCAAAGCCTTAAGTTTAAAACTAAATAGAGAAAAGAGTTGGGAACTCTCACAAAATAAATGGGAGGCATGGAGAGGATTGCCCAAAAGTTAGATCCCCAGATGTAAAACTACAACTCCCACGATGCCTTTAAAATGCATTTAGAGTGAGAAAGCATCATGGAAGCTCAAGTTTTAACACATCTGGGGAGCTACCTTTTAGGTACCCTTGCTCTAAAAGATCATTCATATATGTTGAGTAACTGTATGTTGTACAACCAGTTATACCAAGTAGAAGTACTGGAAATCTCTCTGGAGGCTATTCATGTTCAACTCTGGGCAAGGAATATCAGGATTAGAGGGGTTGCTGAAAAGTGCCTTTCAGCTTTGCCTGCTTGTGTAGCCTCATTCATGCACTATTGCTGTAACATGCCTGAATTGCAGAATTTGCAGATGGAACATGTAAAACCAAGTTCTCAGTTTCAAAGATACTACTAAATGGTGACTTATGTGCTCTGAGATCACAGTATTGAATACAAGTTGGACCTTCAAAATCTGTCGCCAGGTAAAAAATCCAGAGAGGACTCTGCACCCCAGCCCTTTCTCCCAGACACAGAGCGTAGCTACCCAATGAGCACCACTATCATCAATCTTCTTTAATTGAGACCCTAGAGCCAGCTCAGGAACATTGTTTTGTGTCAGCAGCTCGAGAGATTATGATGTTTGGACAGAACCTTTTTGTGCTAATGTTTAAGTATACTCTTCTGTAGCTGCTATATTTGATATGCTCAGCTTAATTAACTTTCAAATTAGGTAGCTTATAAATCTGAAACAACCCATATTTTTGTTTTATATATGATAGAATACTTTTAGTACTTGTTGACTGGTCTTGATTAATTAATTTTCCAAGCTATCTGCCAGCTAGTTGAGAAGACATATTTATTGAGATACATATGTTATTTTTTCAGTCACTTGGCTATTTGTTTTCCTGCTTAAAATTAAAAGGACACTTTAACCACAAAAACAACTTAAGGAAGTTGTAATGCTGCATAGACCCTGCTCTTTTTGTGTGGCAATGTAAAACATTTAGAAATTGACAAAGAAGGAATCATGGAGGCTCTGAATCAGCTTAGGGCGCGTCATAACGTGTTGAAGGCGTTGTGACGGAAGTGGAGCGGCGGTCTCTATGGGGAGTTTGAGCGTGTGGGAATCCCTGATCGGAGGAATATGAACAAGGCAAAATCTTTTTTACTATAAAGGCCCGTTTCCCCGAATAATATATGGCGTGTTCCAGCTAAAAATCAAAAAGCTCAATTTAATCTACCTTCGAGGAGACGTTACTCTTCATATTTTATAAAAATAACTTGCCAGTGTTTCTGCCACGGTCGCGCTGCCCCCGCTGGGCGCGGGCTGCCTGTGGTGGTTCTCTCTGCTGTATGGGGGTTTTGGCTGTCCCGGTCCGGTTTGCGTTTCTCTCCGGTGGTCTCCAGTGGACTTGGTTGGCCTGGAGAGAGTACCATCGCAATTCGATTGAATAACAGAAAAGACAGCCAAGGAAAAAATAAAGTTCTCCCTGAGTGGAAAAGAGACTGTTTACCTATCTTCAGGTGATAGCAGTCAAACGCTGGTTATCGCAATACAAGTCAAGTTAAGTTTCTTTTTTTTTCTTCTTTCTCTCCAAGCAATGTACATTTGTCTGTTTGATACAGTTTTGATACAGTAGAGTACAAACTGTGCAATATAATCAAATTTAAATCTATATTCATGTAAAAAGGAAGAGAATAGGGGGAATGAAGGAGAGAGCAAGGGGAAAGAAAAAGGGAAGAAGGAAGGAGAAATTATAAATCTTGAAGAGAGACGATTGCTTATATAAAAGGTGAAGGCCATGAAGAAACAAGGAAAGGAAAAGCCAAGAAGGAAGAGAAAGAGAATAAAAAAAAAAAAGAGGCGGTCTGAACAAAGGGATTTTTTTTTGCTTCCTAGAAAACAGACACATTCAAATAAATTAATTGAGAAAATATTCCTAGAGTCTGTGTACAGGTGCATGTAATCAATCAAGATCCCTGGCCCTTTAAATACGGCTCTTGGCTGGAATATATAAAAGTCAATTTAAATAGGACTTCTAAAAAATCCCATGATTCCAAACCTATTACGAGAAAGGAAAAAAAGGATAATACACAAGATAAAACATTCTCCACATATTTTTCCCCACAACAAATAAGAGAACCGCAAAAGAATTCTAAACTCTCTATGGATGATACAGCCACAAGTCTAGAGAGTCTGGAGCTAGATGCTAGAAAAATCATCACTGACAAAGAACTTATTACAACAGCCCAATTACAGTCAGGTTTGAGAGCTAATTTGGAAGAAATAAAAAAGGAATTGGCCATCACGGCAGATGAGATCAAAGTGGAAATCAAGCAGGAAATAAATTTACTAGCCGGGAAGTTACAGAAGTTTGAAGATCAAGTGAATGAAATGGACTTTGGTGTAAAAAATCTAAAAGATGAGTGTGGTAAATCACAACGTAGGATGTTAGATCTTGAACTTAAACTTAATGATTTAGAAGACCGTAGCAGATGTAAAAATCTTCATTTAGAAATTTTGCGGAGGGGGGAAGACAAGAAGACATAAAACAAATCTTGAAAGACTATTTCGTGGACTTTGGAATTCCATTAAATGACCATGAACAATTAATAGAACGTTGCCACCGACTATATAAACCTCAAACAATCCCGTCAGATAGCCCAAGAGATATAATTGTATGTTTCTTTTTTTATGATTTCAAGGAATTAGTCCTAAAAACCACAAGGGAAAAACAGCCTAATTTGGGCCGTTTCCATAATAGAAAAGTCTTTCAAGACATATCTTACGATACAAGACTGAAAAGAAAATCTTTCAATCTGGCAACCCAAATTTTAAGAAAGCATGAGATTAAATATAGGTGGCTATATACCTTAAAGATAAGCTTAACATATGATAATAAAAGGGAGACATTTGATTCAAATTAGAAACTTGTGGAATGGTTGAAAATGAAAAAATTAGAATAGACAGATGATATGTGAATAAAGCCCAAATCTATTTCTAGCAATCCTTTGATGGTTGTTATAAATATATAGATATGTTTGCTGCCAACCAAAATAATATGTAAAATTAGATGGCCATACACGATAAATAGTGATATGTGACACGATAACTTTATTGACTACTACTTTGTAATAGATAAACGTCCTTCAGATAAAATTCATGCACAAAGGTGTTTAAAACTTTTGATAATTTTATAGCATGACAGGAGGCTTCATATTTGCTTAAGTCTCTCTTTACTAGAACTCCACAGCAGCACATTAACATAGAGATAAAAACACCAGAGACAAAAAAATCAGGAATCTATAAAATGCTTCTCCTAAATAACTATTTCCTCTTTCTTTGCTGCTCTGCAGTCAGTACAGGTCAGAGTACCACTGCCTCCTATTATATATGGGTGGTGGTGGATATTTTACTGTATTTATATGTTTAGTACTGTATTGATTTATTTGTTTAGAGGGTATTTTTGCATCTACCTACTTAGTGCTCTAGTGATTGATTGATTTATTTAGCTATACTGTATTTTCTGCATCTACCTTCTTAGTGCTCTAGTGATTGATTTATTTAGCTATACTGTATTTTCTACACCTACCTGCTTAGTGCTGTAGTGATTGCTTGATTGATTTTCTCTGTTTTTCTGCATCTACATTCTTATGGCTGTAGGGATTTATTTGTTTAGAATGTGTTTACCTTCCTACTGCCATTATAATTTATTTATTTAGATTGTATTTTTCTGTCCCTACTTTTTTGCTGTAGGGATATATTTTCTCTTTTGACTTTTGTGCATTTTCCTTTTTTAGGCCCCCCTGTCTGGGGATAATTTTTTTCTCGGGTTTGGGGGGGTTTCCTTTTTTCCCTCCCTCCCTCTACCTTTTCCGGGTGGCTTTGCCCCATTCACTTTTCGTCCGTTTTGCGGCCGCCAGAAAGCGGTCTTCCGACCGCTTTCCGTTGCCGACTGCAAGGACCCCGGAGTAATACTCCGACGGTCCCACGTGTTGGATCCCGTCCGCCAGCTCCGTCCGCCAAGCGAGATCTTCTACTTCCACCCTCCACCCGACCCACGCTTACGCTTGCAGTATAACTGGTCCCCCAGCATGGGTGGGGGGTGGTTACCTTCTCATGCAGTGCGGCGGCCCCAAGCACCCACTTCCCCGTGACTGTGTGGTCGGGTGGGGGCGGGGCCGGCCAGTTACCAGACTTACCGCATTAGTTCCGTCGATGGCAGGCACATGTGCTGTAGCTTTGACTGGGACTCAGTGATGACTTGGGCGCATTGCACCCTCAGGCTGTCCTGGCTTTGTGCCCCATGTGGCTGGCAGGTTAGGCTACTGGGAACCATAATGGATGATATAGATCACAGGCATGCTATATAGAGCTGTGCACAACCCCTCAAGGGTTACAGGCACAACTGGCAGTGTTAGCATTTATACTCATCCCCCCCTTTTTGTTTGTTCAGATGATTGCTTGCAGCGCTCTGTTTTATCATATTGACCAATGGAGCACCTCTTGTGAGGTAACTCAGTTGGTGAGTTCCCTGACTAAAGGTGTACTCAATATGCAAGTTCACTATTTACGGAGTGTCAGGCACTATTTAACTAAAGTGCGCTATCTACAGTTACACAATGGAATGCTAGGTACAGTCACACAGAAGAATGCTATCTACAGTTACACAGTAGAAGGCTATGTACAGTTACACAGAAGAATGTACTATGTACAGTTACACATAATATACTTTGTACAGTTACACATAAGAATGCTATGTACAGTTACACAGGAGAACGCTATGTACAGTTACACAGTAATATACTATGTACAGTTACACAGAAGAACGTATTGTATGTTTACACAGAAGGATGTTATGTACGGCTGCACAGAAGAGTGTTATGTACAGTTACACAGAAGAAGGTTATGTACAGTTACACAGAAGAATGTTATGTACAGTTACACAGAAGAGGGTTAGGTACGGTTACACAGAAGAATGCTATGTACACATACACAGAAGAATGTACGTACAGTTACACGTAAGAGTGTTATGTACAGTTACACAGAAAAATGTTATGTACAGTTATACAGAAGACCGTTAGGTACGGTTACACAGAAGAACGTATTGTATGTTTACACAGAAGGATGTTATGTGCGGCTGCACAGAAGAAGGTTACGTACAGTTACACAGAAGAGTGTTAATTACAGTTACATAGAAGTGTGCTATGTGCTATTAATCTGAAGAATTTTTATGTACATCTTATCTGAAGAGCGAAAGCTACATTTTATCGGAAGAATGGAATGCGCAGTTCCTCACCTGTACATCTCTGAAGGTCCTGACTTGTCTGTGCCCCAGGACTTGGCTGGCTTTGTCCATGCCTTACTGATTGGCCTGCTCTACCTGTGCCCCATTGATTGGCCTGCTTTGTCTGTGCCCCATTGATTGGCCTGCATTGTCTGTGCCCCATTGATTGGCCTGCTTTGTCTGTGCCCCATTGATCTGGCCTGTGCTGTCTGTAACAGAATGTCTGCATGCCAAGCCTACTGCCACATACTCACGCTTGTGCATTGCATGCGTTACCCAGCTTGCCCTGGTCACTATATGGGGTGCTGCCCCTATCTTCCTGCCGGTGACACTTGTCCTCTATACTCCTTGAGGTCGCTTTGCTTGGGACCACTGCACAGGAGAACCCTTATCCGGGTTAACAGTGCAGACAATGACTACAATGGCAGTGACCACCTCCGTAGAATTAGGCTTCAGCTAGGGTCCTCCCTTAAGCTTATCAGGAGCGTAACGCTAGAGGGCCCACCTTTAAAACGGCAGGCGACTTGAATGAGTCAGACTCTCCTAGATGAGAGCAGGCAAGGGCACATGAGCACTACTGGAAGGGTGAAGGCCCTGAATCAGTGACTTGAATGAGTCAGACTCTCCTTGAGGAGAGCAAAAAATGGGTTGCAAGAGTATCCTGAGAACGGACAGCAGCTAAAATAGCCTGCCCTTCGGTGGGTCCCCGCTCAGAACTCAAGCTGGTTTTAGCTCAGCTTGTGCCATTACAGAGAGAACATATCTGAAGCATATCAGACTGGTCCCACCCATACGGGCAGTCCAGATCCGAAATGCCAGCAAGTTCTCTCTGCACGAGAGATACAGCAACCCCAGACGATCGTTTCAGCCTTGTTAGGCATCATCAGTGAGGCATAGCTGATATCTCTCTAGGCACCGTGAGCAAGGGGTCCATGTCTGGATTACCCTTTAAACTAATGGAGAGCAAAAAATGGGTCGCAAGAGTATCCTGAGAACGGACAGCAGCTAAAATAGCCTGCCCTTCGGTGGGTCCCCGCTCAAACTCAAGCTGGTTTTAGCTCAACTTGTGCCATTACAGAGAGAACATATCTGAAGCATATCAGACTGGTCCCACCCATACGGGCAGTCCAGATCCGGAATGCCAGCAAATTCTCTCTGCACAAGAGATACAGCAACCCCAGACGATCGTTTCAGCCTGGTTCGGCATCATCAGTGAGGCATAGCTGATATCTCTCTAGGCACCGTGAGCAAGAGGTCCTTGTGGAGAGCAGGCAAGTGCGCATGAGTGCATGAGTGCTACTGGAAGGGTGAATGCCCTGAACCAGGCTCCCAGAAAGACAAGACTCAGAGGAGCGGCTAACCCCTCTGCAATCAGCTAGACGGCCCTGCCTATATGGAGCGGGGGAGGCGATGACCACCGGACGCGGCAGTGACAACCTTCTTAAAAAGGCAGACGACTTGAAGGAGTCAGACTCTCCGAGTGGAGAGCAGGCAAGGATGCATAAGCACAATTTTTTACATGGAAATACTTGACGGAGGCTTATCTCAGCTCCAACCCGTACCTTTTATAGGGGATTGGAACCTTGACCCGGAATCTCACACTTGCCTCCAATTTCGGATGACATCCCAGATGGGGCCCCAAGTCTGGGGTGGCAGACGACCCTATCCTAAATGCAATTTGGACCGCTGGAGGTGCTTGGGATAGAAGAATCTGAGCCACTCGGAGTCCCGGCTCGAGTCTACGATTGAACGTATATTCAATAGTTACTTTGAATTAGACGTGGCCCTCAAGAAACTTCTAGGGACCACGGGGCCCAGTTCTGGTAAGGTGGCCTCTATTTTCTCCCTGGTGAGATAGGTATCTTGTGCATCAGTCATTTGGGTGACAATACAACCTGGTTGGCCGGTTGGGTGGAATTGAGGACATTCGGGAATACCAGAACTATCTGAAGAGATCTTTCTCGTTTTCCACATGTTGGGTCTACCTGGACGGGCTTGCCAGACCCCCTGTGAGGTACCTCCCAGACCGAAAGGTCAGACGCTCCTTGCGTTTTCCCTTGTTTGAGTCCCTGGATTTCGTTTTCAACCAGGGAAATATCGACCTCCTCTACATCTAAAGGAGTGGAGTCCTGCAGGGCGGATTGGATGCAATGGGGTGCCTCCTACGCTCTCCTTTGCCCGAGTTCTCGTACGTTTGGAATAGTTTTCTCTGGGAGGACCCGGCATCAAGACTTTAGTCCACGGAGGAGGACCCATCAGGCCCCGACCAGTTCGGCTGGATTACGGACCCATTTGCTCAGCGATGGACGCTTCCCTCCAGGAGTGTTCGACACGGAAACGCGGACGAGTCTCCTCCGTTTGTTTGGTCTCAGGACCTTTCTACAGGTGCCTCGGTCTGCTGGTACTTTGGAATTATGATCTCTGCTTCGGAAGAATCAAACCTAGTTCCTGGATTCCCTAGCCCCTTGCTCATTTGATCTTGGGGATTGTGAGAGTTTGGTCTGCATGGCGACCCTGACGTAGTTGGGTCTGGTACGGATCTCCTAATTTTGCTACCACTTTTACAGGGTTCGGGTATTGTTTGGTCACTTTATTACCAGGGACTGCCATATTAATTAAATTAGGTAGCGCATACGACTGTTGTCGGCGGGCCTCGCTCTGCTTAGAATTTCCTTTACGATTCCTGAGGACGGGTATTCATCTCCCCATGGGGTACAGGCATTTTTGTCATGCCCTTATGGTGGGTTCTGTCGGGTTTTGCCCATTCACTGATTCTGGATTTATTTCTGTTATTATACCTTGTTTTTCTTTCAGATGGGTTCGGCGGTTTGGACCTTAGTTGTCTTTCAGCCTTAGTCGGACCCGAGGGTCATATTCTTACTTTGGTAGTGCTCCCACCTTTAGGCGGTGTTCGACGTCATCGTTTGTTTAAATGGTTCTTCTCTTTTTCTCGCCCATCATGTACCGCTTGGTTGTGGTTGGCATTGCCGGGGCCTATAGGTTTTTTCGGTTCACTTCAGTCCATAACACTGCGACTTCAGGTACCGACATGGCGGGGGTTTTTCTCCAAGACATCATACGCTTTCCTGCCGGTTACGAGGACCTATCTTCGCAGAGTTTAGGTTGGTTCGACGGATCGTGTTAATTTGGTCTTTGCTGTCCGAGCGTTAAAACAGAAAATATGAAGCCTCCTGTCATGCTATAAAATTGTAGATTATACTTGCTTTAGTGTAACTATAATCTTAATTTTATTAATGACAGGAGGCGAATATTTCCCTCCCAGTTTCTCCCTCCCCTTGTTGTTTGTTGGTTTGACTGACTTGTTGTTTATTCACCTGGTCTCCTGGGCGAGGTTGGTTATCTGGGGGAGTTGGGGTTTATGTGGGATATGGTACCGTCAGTATTTTATGATGGGGATTCAGGTTTTTTCACTATCTGGGATATTATACTGTCAGTATTTACGATTGGGATTCATATTTTCTCAGTACATTTCATTCGCTAATCACTGTTTTCGACTCTGTTTATTTCGTTTCAGTTTAATGGTTTGGCTGCAGTTCTTAGATCCGACTACTCTACAGGATAAATGTCAAGGCTTCACCCACTGGTTCCACGGTTTAAATTTCGGATGGCGTTCATCGTTATGTTATGTTTGTTTCTCCTGTTATTGTATTTGTGGTGTATTGTTTATGTACTTTATTTGTCGCAGCGTGAAAGAGGAAATAGTTAGTTGGGAGAAGCCTTTTATAGATTCCTGATTTTTTTTTGTCTCTGGTGTTTTTATCTCTATGTTAATGTGCTGCTGTGGAGTTCTAGTAAAGAGAGACTTAAGCAAATATTCGCCTCCTGTCATTAATAAAATTAAGATTATAGTTACACTAAAGCTAATATAATCTACAATTATCTTCTAAACTTAAAGTAAGGTACAGAGGGTGAAAAGGCAAAAGAGAAAGGGGAAAAGGGAAGGGAAGGGAGAGGGAAGGAAAGAGAAGGAATGGGGGTGGGGGGAAGGATAGAATATTAATTAAGAAGGATTTTTTTTCTCACTAAAGCACAATTTATTAAAACTTTTTTGGATCTAAATGATCCATCTGTAAATAACGAAAGAAGGATATGTCTGGTAACATAATATTCATACTTGATAGGTGATTTACTCTGGATAATAATTATGAATAATACAGATAATATATATATCATAATTGGTTATACTTGATGGGTCATTACTATCATTGTATTTGTGAACAATAGATGGGTGTTCTTATTCACAATTTATTCACAAAGGTGTCACAATTAGTTGATAAGCATTTCTTCATTACCCAAAAAGAAAGAAAGTTAATAATAAATGAGTATCTGTTTGGGTCTTGCACTATGAGGTTTAAATTTTTATCAAATCTATTTCGGTTTAGATTGGAAATAGACAAAGAAAAAACAAGGGCAGAGAACGTCTGACCTAGTAGACAAGTAAGGACTAAGTGAGTAACATGGGCCTAACCCAAAATAGACAATATAGAGAGGCCATTCACCTCATCCAACCTTCTTCCATTGCTCCATTGTCCAGTTCTGGCACTCACATCCCCATCAAAGGTGCTTTCGACAGTGGACATGGTGGACAGATGTGATTATGGGCATTCAGACCATTCTGCAGCAACGCAACCTCTTACCCAGCAAACTGCAATGCACTATGTGTTCGGACACTTTTCTATCATGTCCAGTATTAAGTTTTTCAGCAATTTGAGCTATAGAAGTTTTTTATGTTCTGATCACACAGCCTAGCTTTCACTCCCATGTGCATCAATGAGTCTTAAGAACCCATCACCCTAATGCCGGTTCACAGGTTGTCCTTCCTCACACCACATTTGGTAGGTACTAACCGCTACTGAGAACACCCCTCAAGACTTTTTGGAGGCGCTCTGACCCAGTGATCTAGCCATCACTTCTTGGCCATTGTCAAAGTCAGTCAGATCTTTTCACATGACCATTTTACTGCTTCCAACACATGAAATTTAAGAACTGACTGATCTTATCCCACCCCTTGGCAGGTGCCATTGTAAAGATGTAATCAATTTTATTCAATTCACCTGCCAGTGGTTTTAATGTTGTGGCTGATAAGTGAATTACAATATTTGTATCACGTGCGTATATTCGATTTGAGTTGAAACACAAAAAGAACCCACACGAATTCTACTTTTTTTTTTCCGGATTCCTAATGTATTATTATTATTATTTTTTTATATATTCATAGTCTTTATTATTTTTTTTCATATGTTACACAAAAAAAGATTTAACAATTTAACAAACATAAGAAAAAAAAACCCACCAGTACAATTGGAAGAAGGTTCCGCAGAGAATACACAGTCACAAAAATGCCAATCATGTCTTGGGAAGGAATGCTATTTCATATATGAAACTGGCACCATTTTATTTTTTAATTTCACTATTTACTATCATTTTCGTCTCATTCTACATGATTTTCATTCTCTATTCTGAACAATTTAGTAAAATAGACAAAGCAAATCAAAGAGAGTTGCAGAATCAGGTGATTATACCAAGTTAAGAAGTAACACCAGTGTACTGATGAGATAAAAATAGTAAAGCTAGATTATATCCTGTCCACATATTGGAAAACAGAGAATCTTAATGATAAATAAATAATTTGGAGGTAGGGAAGTGGGGAGAGATGCTGGATATCAAGGGGATGTAATTGGGTTAATAGGGTGCATTGATATAATAAAAGTAATTACTTTGATTGGTAGTAAGCAGCGGCTTTTCATTTATGTTGTCTAGTTAGAAATATAACCAACAGAGGAAATCCATGTGTTCATATAATGCTCTGAGGTATCACAGACAGGGATACTCGGAATGGCCCCCATACCGAATGGGGAAAAGCATTCAGCTGCATGCTTGGCCATTTGATTTCTAAATAAAGACATTGTCAACACTATTTATTAAGCGTGGTTTTTGAAGAATGGGTGTGATTTCAGCGGGACTGAATACTGCTGGATTGCTATAATGAACACGTTTTTTGTGTTTGAATGTATGTATGCATTTGTGTGTAATGTAATTTGAATGCAGTTGTATGTTCGTATGTACTGCTATTTGAAAGCAGTGGTGTACTTGTGTTTAGTGTTTGTTGTTGAATGTGTTTGTAAATACCGTTGGAGTTTGATTTCTGGGTGCACATACATTTCCCAAAACACACACACTCAAAAGATACACACACAATGACAGACATAGATGCACACTGACACATACACAATCACAGATATACAGTGATAGACACACTCTCACTGATTCAAAATACTCACTGACAGACACACACACGCGCACACACTCACAGATAGACACACACATGCACACTAACTGACATACATACTGACACACACTCTCAATGACAGATACACAATCTCACTGATTTAAAACACACTCACTGACAGACACACTAATAAACACTCTCAATGACAGACACACATTCTTACAGATTTGAAACAGTATAAAGAAATGGAGGAAAGTGCAACCAGAGAATTTGTGCATCAAGTGCTAAAGTATTTAATGACGAACAAGTGAAGGTACAAATGTTTCAGTGCGTCTTACAAAGCATAATAACACTCACCATTTTATGTGCAATAGTGCAGAAATAATCATCATAAACCTGTCCCCAACGTGACAATAGAGGAGGAGACACATGTCCCTGGTTCAACGCCATCTTCTCTGTCTTGGCTGAGTGACTCACGATCACGTTATGTGTCCTGGCATATGACGTCATTTGCATTGTACGTTTTGATGCTCATTGCTGAGATACAAAGATACATCGGTTCAGTATTATACTGAGCCATCAGAGGAAAATTACAGTGGCCAAAAATGGTCAAAACAGAGTAAATGCATTTATCCAAAATATACAACTATATAACTGGTAAGACTCTAAAGAAGTCAAGAAATAGATTCTGAATACAATGGTAGTTTCTAATAGGCAATCTAAGCTGCATATAAGCTATATAAATCTTAAAGAATAATAATACATTCACTCAGAAGAGATGACAAGGACAGACTTAGAGAATGAGAGTGTAGGTCCCCCTATAAGTGTGATGGAAAAAAATATAGAATAAAAGGAAAGAGACAAAAAATCAGTCAGTTTAAAAACGAAATAAAATAAACTGCAATATAGATGCAAATTCTGAACCAAGCAGAGCACCAAAGTGTCAGGATAAGGGACCGGTGTAACCAATGGATATAGCCCTATATATCCATAGTGTGTATACATGGTGTATGTGTACAGGTATCAATATATATATATATATATATATATATATATATTTATATATATAGAAACTCCGGCAATTTAATTCAGGCTAAGTCCCTAGCCTCAAGACATTTTTCTAAGGAGTCCTTGAAAAGTAAGGAAATGTATTGCAATAGGTAATTATATAATTCAGACTTCCTACAGTGGATTCAGTTATGAGTATAAAAGAAATATAAATACTGTAACGGATCACCTGGCACCCCGTCGTTCTTCAAAATCCTATACTTGTTTCTATCCATGAGATGTCATCCTCATGGTAGTCACTCCTGTTTTGAATCACTATCAAGCCATCTTTGTCAGCTGGCATGATAATGACTTCATTGTGGTTTGACAACTCTCTAAGAGCCTATTTGTCTTTGACAGAGATGTTATGTTTGATGGGTTGCAGATTCTAAGGGAGTCTCTCTATTTGTGTGCTCTCTGTGTTCATAAACGTCTGTACAGAGTTATTATGTACAATATGAACGAATATACTACTATGCTTGCAAAAATCAAGTTTTACCTGGTATCCTGTG